AGGGCATTAAAGGCATGAAGGATTGAGGCCGGGGCAGCCCCCTCTGCCCTCCCCATGGCGGGTTTCCTGTCCCTGCTTCGGGCGGTGGGGATGAGGGGGTTTTCTGGGAAAGAGAGAATTGTCTCCGGGGTTCAGGGAGGGGGTGGGGAGGTTGTATCACGGGCATCATTATATGTGAGATGCTGCGTGTGCCGGCACAGAACTCTGTGCTTGGCTGGGGTGTATGTAACTGTGTTAGTAATTACTCACGTAACGTGTATTATTTAGCACTACTGAGTGTCAGGCTCTGTTCTGAGTTCCTGTGATACATCAGTGACTAAAAGGGGCAAAGAGCCCAGCTATCATGGTGCGAACATGCGTGGGGGTGGGGGGCACGGAGGAGGGACAAAGACGATTGAAAGCACAGAATATAAGAAGTTAGAAGGTGGAACGGAGTGGGGTAGAGGGGGGTAGAGCAAGATGAATGGATAGACTGCAGTTTTTTAAGTAGGGGTTCAGGCCACCGGTCTGATGTCGCTCAGTGATTGAGCACCAACCCAGGAACCAAGAGGTGGCTGATTCCCATCAGGGCACAAGCCTGGGCTGCAGGCTCCATCCCCAGTAGGGGGCGTGAGGAGGCGGCCCATGGATGATGTTCCTCTCTCAGCATTGTTTCTCTCTATATATCCCTCTCCCTTCCCCTCTCTCTCTCTCTCTCTCTCTCTCTCTCTCTCTCTCTCTCTCTAAATCAATAAAAACTTTTAAAAAATTGAGGGTGTCAGAGTAGGGCACACGGGAAGCTGAATTTTGAGCTGATGCCTGAGGGAGGCAAGGACGTTAGTTGGTCATGAGGATGTCTGGAGAGTTTTCCAGGAAGAGAAAGGCCTGCCTGGCATTTTAAAGGAACAGCCGGGAGGCAGGAGAGGCTGAAGAAGGGTGAGCAAGGGCTTATGAGAGAGGTCAGTGAGGTCAGGGAGCTGGCCAACGGCTGTGCCATCCTCGTGTGAGTGTGTGTGTGTGTGTGTGTATGAGTGTGTGTGTGAGTGTGCGTGTGTGTATGTGTGTGAGTGTGTGTATGACTGCGTGTGAGTGTGAGTGTGTGAGTGTGTGTGTGAGTGTGTGTATGAGTGTGTGTGAGTGTGCATGTATGTGTGTGAGTGTGTGTGTGTATGTGAGTGTGTGTGTGCGTGTGTGCGTGAGTGTGTATATGAGTGCGTGTGAGTGTGTGTATGAGTGTGTGAGTGTGCGTGTGTGCGTGTGAGTGTGCGTGTGTGTGCGTGTGTGTATGAGTGTGTATGTGTGTGAGTGTGTGTGAGTGAGTGTGTGTGTATGAGTGTGTGTGTATGTGAGTGTGTGTTGTGTGTGTGAGTGTGCGTGTGTGTGTGTGTGCGTGTGTGTATGAGTGTGTATGTGTGTGAGTGTGTGTGTGTGTGTATGAGTGTGTGTGTATGTGAGTGTGTGTTGTGTGTGTGAGTGTGCGTGTGTGTGTATGAGTATATGTGTGAATGTGTGTGTGTGTGTGTGAGAGAGAAAGTGTGTGAGTGTGAGTGAATGTGTGTATAAGTGTGTGTGTGAGTGTAAGTGTGTCCCTCTCAGGGCTGCCTCACAGTCCATCCTCCGGGTCCCGGCTTCCCTGGTACTTTGTGGGCGTCACTAAGGGGGGCACCATTGAGCCGGGGCATCTGGATGTCCCCACCGGCGCTGGTGAACGTGTGTCCTCCCCACCCCCAGCAGCCGGTCCCAGGTCTGGGCGCCCAGCTCACCTCCCCCGCAGGGGGCGGGGCGGGCCCACGTGACCCTGCGCTGCGCGTGCGCACTGGCGCTGCTGTGCCTGGCGGCGCCGCGGCCGCGGGAGGAGGCGCTGGGGGCCCGGGCGGCCTATTGGCGCAGCACCCGGGCGGGATGGGCGAGGACGTCGAGAAGCTCTCCCACGGCGTGTGAGCGGCGGGAGCCGGAGGGAGGGGAGCGGGCGGGGCGGGGAGCAGACCGGCGCCCCAGCCCGCGCCCTCCCGCCCTGCGCACCGCAGCCCCAGGCTTCTGCAAAGACGTGTTCTGCAGCGGGAAATCCAAGGACGCCAAGAAATCTCCAGACGTTACACACCCCCAGAAAGCCGACAACAGCACCAAAGCCCCGCCAGTGGACGCCAGGAAAGCCCCGCCGGCCAACGCCTCCCCCCACCGAACCCCACGAACCCGCTGAATTCCACGAGCCCCCCACCGCGGAGCGCCAGGCAGCCCGGACCCCCGACCTCCTCCTAGGTCCCCGGGAGGAGAGCCTGGGCACAGCCGGCGGCCCAGGAGCCTCGGAACCGGGGTCAGATTGGGCGGGACCGGACCGGGAGGAAGACCTGGGCCACAGGGTCTCCAGGCTGGGCTTCCACCTCCAGATGCCGACTCCAGTCTCCGCGCCCACCGGCCTCCTTGATATTTTTTATGAGAGGGGCCCTCACTCCTCCCACCCACCCCCTCCCCTTCCCCAGTGAGAACAATAACGAGAAATAGAATGTCTGTTGCTTCCGGACAGGAGAAACCTACTGTCCTTCCAGGGAGAAGGGATCCTGGCGCTCCTGCTGAGAAAAGGGCCTCAGCTGTAGGGGCCTCCCTGCCGGCTCCCTGCAGCCCATCCACCTCACACAGGTACCCCACTGCCAGGGGAGGCAGATCAGAGTGAGAGAAGCCCATTCCAGCAGCCTCCACGGAGGGGCTCCAGCCAGGCCGCCACCCCAAGTTTCTATACAGCGCAGAGCGGCCCAGGGCGTCGGGTGGGAGCCCAGCCAGGCCCTCTCTGCCCCACTGGCAGCAAGCAGAGCGGGGGAAGGGGTGGGAGCCCAGCCCCGCCTCTTCCTGGGAAGCTGGTGAGAGGGGGGCACACTCCTCCGCACGCTGGTGGCCATCAGAGAGGTGTGTCCTGGGCAGGGGCAGATCCAGCCCACAGGTATGTCCTGGGCAGGGTCCTAATTCTTGTTACTGGGAAGTATCTACACCTCTCCCTACTCAGAACCCAGCCTCTCCGCTGCCAGAGAAAATTCTGGAGCGGGACTTCAGGCTCCATCCTCCAGACCCAAACTCTGATCTGCCGAAACCAGCCGCCCTCCCAGACCCGCCCTGGGACTGAGGGACCAGCCTGAGCCGTGCCTTTGCCTGGCAGCTGCATCCTCTCCAGCCCTTCGCCTTCCAGGGCCTGGTTCCACGCCCAGGCCATCCGCCTGCACCAGACACAGCCAGACGGGAGGGGGAACGTGATGTGGTCCCATGGCTGTGGGGTCAGTGTGACGTGCTGAGCCCAGGAAGGGAGGTCCCCCTCATCCACCAAGCCCACAGGCCCCATCTCTGCAGGCTGAGCATGTGAGTGGGGCAGGAGAAGCCACTCCAGGAACCAGGAAAGTTCTAAGTCTCTCACTTCTCTCTCTCCCACCCCTCCTCTCCCTCTTTCCCTTACTCACAGGTGCTCCTAGCCCAGGAAAGAAGGAGAGACAAGCCCCTCCTTCCCAGTCTCTCTCTCTCTCTCTCTCACACACACACACACACACACACACACACACACACCAGATGCAGGATCCCTTCTGAGCCTTCCCCACAGATTAGCCCACTCCCTGGAACCTGAATTCCCCACGGCCTCGCCTCCCATCTCAGCTCCTCGCCTCCCCTCCTGAATGGCTCCTACGCTCAGGAGTTCCCAACTTCTCAGGACAAGTTCTCTCCAAATTTCGGGTTCTTTAAGGATATTCCCTATAGTCCCCCAAAGCCTGCCTTCCAGAGCCCCCCATGGGCCTCTCCCCACTCTTTCCACGCTCGAAGAGCATGCCATCTCGCTGCGGTCTTTCCACATAGTCTTGGAAACAGCCGGTTGGCCGATGACTACATCATAAGCCTGCCCCATGCAAGCTCCCGTTTACTGAGCGTTGACCTGGGGCAAGGGCCATGCTAAATGTTTCACATGCATTATTCCATGTCATGCCGATGCACAATGAACATTCTATACAAGAAATATGAATTTAGAAGGAATGGGGGGGGGGCGCCAGGTGGAGGCCTCTTTCTTGAAGAGACACCCCCAAGACTGGGTCCCATCTGCTTTTCAGATACACATCTTGCCCTCTAGCAATGCACACAGGCATATCAAAGGTAAAGTTGGGTACCCAGTAAAAGGATGATCAGGTTAGGGAATTGCCTTGAGCCACCACTATCTCTCAACACTTGGTGCTTAGCAATCAGCCCTGCTAACACCTAAGGTCCATCTGCCTTCCGAGTTCCTTGGAGCACTGGCAGTATCGCAAGCAGCGGCTTCCTGCAGACTCGAACGCTGATGCTAGATCCCTGTCAGAATGCCGTCCGCGGACAAACCGCAGTACTTCTCTCAGCCTGGGTTTCCTCCTCTGCAGGGTGAGGATAACAGTTACCACCCTCACAGGGTTGTTGTGAGGGCTGAATAACCTGGCACACAGTAGGCTCCTTTTCCCGAAGACCTTCCCGTGACACCGTCTCCAGACCCCTCCCCTTCACCGTCCCCCTCCTGGGCCAGGCTTCTGCTGAGCCTAGCACCCCCTTGTGTGCTCCATCTGGACACGCACAGCGACCCGCCCGAGGAGGGAGCTCTGGTGCCGTCACGCAGCCAGTGACTGTCTTTGCCCCAGTCGTTCCTCCGGGCTGGGCAGTCCCCCCGCCCCCAAGCCAAGGACACTGAACTCCAGGAAAGAGTTGGCGGGGGCACGTTTGGGCACAGGGCTGCGATTGGGCCGATGACCAGGAGAGCCTGGGGGTGCTGAAGTGGAAGCTTCAGGCTCCAGTGCCCAGTCACTGACTGGCGGAGGGACCTGGGGGAGCCGCTGCCTCCCCCAGGGCCACAGTGTCCCCTCAGTGAAGTAGAGCTGAGCTGAATGGCTCTGATGACCCCATGGATGTTCTGATCATTCCTAGCACCATTCTCTCTCTTCCCCTCCGCCCCTCCCGCTTTCTCTCCTGCCTTTGGCTACTCCTGATGCACCAGGGCCCACAGAGACACACAGAGAGAGGCAATGTCTTTGATTTGCTTTATTTGGCCCGTGTGGGAGCGGGGAGCAAGCTTTGGGCAGAGCCGAGGGTGTGGAGGGGAGATCCGGGCCGGCACTGTCCTCGGAGGCGGAGGCGGCAGGAGGCGCTCACGCGTCCATCTGGCGGAGCTCCCTGTGGGAGGGGCAGAGCGTGGCAGTGGGAGTGGGCAGTCCTCATACCCCCAGGAGGCCTCAGGCAGGCCCTGGGCCCCTGTTCTCCCCCTACCCACCCCCCAACCCACCTCCACCCCCATTTCAGCCCCAGGGAGCTGGCCCGGAGGACAGGGAACCAAACCTACCTGGGGGCAACCTCGTCGGGGGCTCCCCACTCCGGGAAGTTCAGCGGCGTTTCCTCCTGGTCTCTTTTCCCGTACCTGGGAGGAGAGAGACGCTGGGGCAGGCCGGCACTGCGCCCAGGTGCCAGCCCACTGCCTCCTGCCTGCCCTTGGTGCCATCCCCCAGGGGCCCAGGCCTGGTCAGGAGAGAGGTTCTGTGGAAGGGCCAGGAGCTGGGACCCTCCCGCTCCGCCTGGCGCACACCTGGGCCTGGTCACCATGTTGATGTATCTGCGGAGCTCAGCGGCGTACTGGGCCAGCTGCTCCGGCGTGGCATGGTCCCCTGGGTACACCGGCTCCAGCGGGGCCCCCGAGGCAGCCCGCGGCGGCTGCAGCAGCAGAGCCACACACGTGGACAGGAGCAGCAGGGAGAGGCAGCGGCGGGCGGCAGCCATCTGAGGAGCGAGGAGCGGGAGGGCATTGGAGGCAGAACCCACCCAGCCCCCTCGCCCGTCACCTGCTTCTCCGAGCCTGGCGCCCAGAGGGCCAAGCAAAGAGCCGCTGGGCGGGACCTGGCCGCCCCACCGCCTCGACACTGCCTCAGAGGGCAGAGGCCGCTCCTTCCGTAGCAGCAGCAGCCGGAGCTCAGCCGGACCTCCGCAAGGAGAAAAGGCGGCAGAGAAGGAAGGGGGCATGGGCAGGAGGCACAGGACGCAGGATGTCTGTGGCCTGATGGCTCTGAGCAGGCAGGTGTGCGGTGGGGGTTGGAGGAAGGGGTTGGTGGGAAGAGTGCTGGGGGCACACACAGAATGAACGTGTGAGCCAAAAGACAGAAATCAATAGCCTGAGGCTTGCTACCCCCTTCCCCCTGCCTCCCGCCCCCCGCCAGATACAGATACAGATGGTCACGGACACACACAGGTCCCAATCACTCACCAGGTCAAAGTCACGCACACATTTGTGTCCACAGCCACCACCAGCCACTCCACACGCACATTTGCAGTCTTCTGGACACAGACTGCTCTTCCAGGTGCGAGATTTGTCCAGATGTAGAGCCAGACCCACACAGCATCTCCGGTCTCCAGAGGCCCCCAGTCCTGCAAACCATCAATTCTTCCCTCCCCCACCCCCATCCCAGGCCCTAGAGCCAGGGAGTCCCCAGACCTTGGGGCAGGCCGAGTCCACTCACCCTGAGTCCTGAGCAAGAGGCCAAGCAGGTACCTGCCTCAGGCTGGATGGCCCCTGCTCTCCGCCTGCCCCTTTATAGTCCTCAGCGCCCCGGAGTGCCCGCCTCCTGCCAACCTCTCCCTCCCCAGCCCTCACACCCTCCTCCCCAGCCAGGCGTCTCCCTGGTACCTGCAACGCCAGCAGCTCACGGGGCCAGGGACAGGGTGGGCCAGGCCGTGCTGTGAGCGCCACGCTCAGCGGTGTAACGGGGAAAGTGAGCTACAGCGAGTCCCCTGTGGGCCCCCATCCACCATGGGGCGCCAAGAGCAGGCTTGGTCCACGGAGGACGGGGTTCTGGGACCTCAGGATGAATGAAAGGTCTTGATCGCAAGCCTTGGAATAGCACCCCCTCCCAAGGATTAACCCAGCTGAAACCAGTTTGGCTCAGTGGATAGAGCTTCAACCTGTGGACTGAAAGGTCCCGGGTTCAATTCCGGTCATGGGCATGTGCCTTGGTTGCGGGCACATCCCCAGTGGGAGGTGTGCAGGAGGCAGCTGGTTGATGTTTCTCTCTTATCGATGTTTCTAACTCTCTATTCCTCTCCCTTCCTCTCTGTAAAAAAATCAATAAAATATATTTTTTAAATATGTAAACTCCACACAGCCGAAGCCGGTTTGGCTCAGTGGTAGAGCGTCGGGCTGCAGACTGAGGGGTCCCGGGTTCGATTCTGGTCAGGGGCATGTACATTGGTTGGTTGCAGGCACATCCCCCTGGTAGGGGGTGTGCAGGAGGCAGCTGGTCAATGTTTCTCTCTCATCAACATTTCTAGCTCTCTATCCCTCTCTCTTCCTCTCTGTAAAAAATCAATAAAATATATTTAAAAAAAATAAAAGTAAACTTGGAATAGCACCCCTTCCCAAGGATTAACCCAGCTGAAACCAGTTTGGCTCAGTGGATAGAGCTTCAACCTGTGGACTGAAAGGTCCCGGGTTCAATTCCGGTCATGGGCATGTGCCTTTAAAAAAAATAAGCCTTAAAAAAAAAAAAAAAAAAAAAAAAGGATTAACCCAAAGCAACCAACGGATTCTTTCGGCAGAAAGTTGAGGCTGGGGTTCTGAGACCAGGGGCGTGGGATGAGACTCCGGACTCCCTTTCAGTCTGTTCCTACAGCAAGGTGGGAAGCGGGGAGGTGCCTCGGGGAACCGGGAAAGATGAAAAGGAGTGGGGGCCAGGGAAGGAGAAACCCACTCCCTGCCTGGTGTGTAGGATGCAAATTAGAACGGATGGGCCTGGGCTCTGGAGAACGGGTGTGTGTGTGTGTGTGTGTGTGTGTCCATTTCTGGTAGCCACCTCAGAGCCCCATCCCAGGGGCTGAGCGATATACATCAGCATCGTTGGTAAAGCCTTGAATTTCCCAGAGTGCTCCCAGCTCCATCACCTCCCTGAGTCCCTGCAACAACCCATTTTACAGATTCAGAAACCAAGGCTCAGAGCCATTCAGTCTGACATAACCCGTCCGTGGTAGATTCCGGGCTTGAAGTAAAGTCTGCCTCCAAAATCCGGACTCTCTTTTTCTAAGTGGGGCTGTCAGACTTTTGCTATAATTTCCCCACTTTTTGGCTGAGACACATGAGGCTCACCGAGGCGAAGACACTTGCCCGAGATCGCACCGCTGTCTAGGCCTCGAGCTCCGAGCTCCGGCCTGGATTCCCTGCCTCAGCGGCCTCCACGTCTCCCTGCTCTGTGTCCCGTCCCCACCCCAGGCCAAGGAGCAGCCGCGGGCTGTGCCTGAACCACATACAGAAGCCTGAGAAGGACGGAAAGGACCTCTCGCCCCTGCCGTTCTGCTGTCCCAGGTCCAGACGCGGACCGTGTGTGTTAGGAGAGGAGTGTGGGGCAGGAGGAGTGACGACTGAGGCGATGCCACAGGAGTCGGAGCTTTGATTTTCCTCAAGGCGATGAGGAAGCATCGGTTCTGCTTGTTCCTCTCCATTCTGATTTCCGGCAACAAGAACAACAATGCTTCCCCAGACACCTTCCTTTCCACACAGCAAATGTGGAGGTGCTTCTGTCTCCACAAGCCCTGCCTCTCTCTGGTCCTGGGCTCTGACCGCCCAGATGAAGGAAGCTGAATTCCTGGCGGGTCCCAGACGGGGCCACTCATGAGGCCCGCAGAGGCTGCAGCGTGCCACCAGGGGGCGCTAGGCTCCAGCCGTCGCTGGAAGGGTCTGAGCTCCCCAGGACCATAGCCGGGTGAGACCCGTTCCTGCCACTGTCCCTGTCAGGCCCCAGCCCCCACAGACAGATGGTGGATCCGGGGATTGACTCCAGCGCGGAGGCCATTTACAGTTTTGTAAACAGCTTTGTCACTGCCTAAGAAGCGACAGGCACTTCACAATGTCAACGGAACCTATAGCTTTCAGGTTCCTCCTCTGCAAACAACAGATGCATCTTCTGGGCCCTCTCCGCACGCTGTAATCATCGGATGTGATTTCTGAACCGCGTGGCCGTGTCCGGAACGGCGTTGGCTGGCTCTCACTCATCATCAGTTCCCAGGACTGGTCCTGGCCCTGCTCAGAGAAGCGTCAAGTGCTCTCCTGCAGGTGGGCTAACCGACAGTGCCAGGGGCCCCTCCCCCTGCCCAAACCCATGCCCTTCAGGACAGGGTGATGGCCACTGGGCAGCGTTGAGGATGGAGTGAGGGCTGAGACTAGGAAGGGAACACCGAGACCCCTGGGGTCACAGGATAAAGACAAGCGTACACCCCGTCCAGCATGGTAGAGTGTCGGCCTGTGGACTGAAAGGTCCCAGGTTCGATTCTTGCCAAGGGCACATGCCCGGGTTTCGGGCTCAATCCCCAGTGGGGGGCATGCAGGAGGCAGCCGATCAATGGTTCTCTCTCATCATTGGTGTATCTATCTTTCTCTCCCTCTCCCTTTCTCTCTAAAATCAATAAAAATATATATATATTAAAAAATAAAATAACATAAAATGGGATACACTGACTATACTGTGGTTTTGGCTTGCTTTTTTCTTTTTCTTCTTTTTTTTAATCCTCACCTGAAGATATTTTTCCCCATTAATTTTCTGAGAGAATCTCGAACTTCACTGGGACCTGTGTCTTCTGCTAGGTCACATCCTAGGTCACGGCCCCAGGTGGTGTAAGCCACACAGCAGGGAAGCAGCGTGAAGAGTCCTGATCATCTGGGGAGGGGTGAAGTGAGAGGGGGCTGATTGGGGGGGCCCACTTTAGGGAGCACAGGGTCCCATAGCTCAGCTCTGGAGTCAGGCAAATCCTGGGTCAAACTCCGCTTTAGCCTCTGTGGCCAGAGCCAGTGATTTCATCTCCGAGCCCAGCTGCCATGTGAAAGGTGGATCATAACCGTCCTGGTAAAGGTGAGGATTTAACGATATGATGCCTGGAAGATGCTCGGCACCACTGCCAGCTCATTGTGAGTGCTCAGCTCATTGTGAGTGCTCAATAAAACGCTACCTTTTATTGCTATTATTTGCAATAAAGAGATTGGCAGATAGAATTGTGCACTCGAGACTTATATAACGTTTTTAACCAATGTCACATCAATGCAAAAAAATTTTTTTAAAAATACATTTTATTGATTTTTTTACAGAAAGGAAGGGAGAGGGAGAGGGAGCTAGAAACATTGATAAGAGAGAAACATTGATCAGCTGCTTCCTGCACACCCTCTATTGGGGATGTGCCCACAACCAAGGTACATGCCCTTGACCGGAATGGAACCTGGGACCCTTCAGTCCGCAGGCCAATGCTCCATCGACTGAGACAAACTGGTTAGGGCAAAAATTTTAAAGGAGATTGGCGGGATGCACCCTAAATGTGAAGAGTGGATTTACATTTTGCAATGGGATATTTATCCCCAACATTTTATTATGAAAATTTCAAAGTTACAGCAAGTTGAAAAGACTGTTCAGTGAGTGTTGTTTGTGAAATGTAGGATGGTCTTCTTTTCTTTTTGCTTGTCTATGTGTGTGTGTGTGTGTGTGTGTGTGTGTGTGTGATTTCAGGCCATATATTTATTTTTCTTTCTCATTTTTTTATTAAGGTATTATATGTGTACATATGTTTCTATAGCAGGCATATGTGACTTGGGTAATTAAAAAAATGTTAACCAGAACAGAACCAAAGACAACCAGCCCCACAGCCAAAGTCACTGCCTCCCTCGGTTCTGCCATTGACTGGCTTCAGAGTCTGCCCCGTCTCATTAGGAATTCTTCCAGCCACTGGGCCACGTGACCGCACACCACCTGTGCCCACAGGACGCCGGGGGAGATTCTGCCAAAGGCGTTCTTGAAGCCCAGATTCCAGGCACAAGAAGGCTGTGGCCCCTCCATCCCAACCAAGGAATTCCGTGGACAGGGAAATCAGGTAAACTGGAGTGACCTGCTCTTCCCTTCCACACACCCGGGGCCGGGGATGGTGGGAAAGAGCCTGGGTCCGGAGTCAGAGCGCTCTGGTTTGCATTTCACTTGCACTTCTCCGCTGTGTGGCTTTGGGCAAGTTGCCTGGCCTCTCTGAGCCTCCCTGTGAAAGGGGAACAATAACACCTGTGTCACAGACTTCTTTTGACAACGAACATAATGGCTAGGTCTGTCTCCCTCTCCAGCCGAACAGTGGTCCCCGCAGCCCGGGGCTCCCTGTCTCTGCACTCTGGTGTCTGGTGCAGAGAGGGACCCTAACTTCACCCCCTATCCCGATATCCCTTCCCCTCTCACCCATTCTCTCCCCATCTTTATCCACCATTCTCACCAACTCCCTTTCTACATGTTTCCTCTTCTCCTTCACCCTGTACCTCCCCCTGCCCTCCCCGCTGCTCCCCTGCCCAGCTCCAGGGACAGACTCCATCCCCCACCCCATCCCATGTCCCCAGAGCCTGGGGGGGGGGGGTGATAAAGCGGTGTTGACGCACTTACTGCATTACTGTCAGCGGCTGCATTAGCTCTGAGGACGCACAGAAGGCCATTAGCAGTGACAGCCTGTCATCCGTCAGAGGGGGCGGAGGGGGGCCGGAGAGAGGAGTCAAAAACAACACGACAGGCCCACATCTGCTCCCTCCCGGTCCTCCTGCTCCCGCCCCAACCTTGGCTGCACTTCC